AGGTGAGGTTCTTGCTACAGTTTTAATAAATAACCAAGAATATTATGATGAGAACGACATCGACATCCGCCGATTTGTGGCGATAATATACCTACTAGTTTTTTGAATAGTTTCACAGCCGAATCAGCAGTTATATTAGAGGCAATATAGAATATTTAGCTGACTATTCCACTCTTGATCTCGAGAACCAATCAGAATCGACCATTTTCACGGTATCTTCTGGATTCTAGCGATATTTTTTGTGTATTAAATTTTATCGGACTTGCTCTACCAATACAGAAGGCGGATTGACCCACACGTGACCAACAAACCTCGTTTATCAGCGATAAAATTTTGACATCGTGTCTAGTCAATATTGCTTTGGATTCAAACCTGAGACAATAACCTAAGTACCTACCTACTTTATTTTATTTACTTATAATTCGCGTTAGTGAGACATTTTGTACGAAAGGCTAGACAATTTTATTCTGGCTGGACGTTTCATGTGTAATTTAAAAAGTTTGCATATTTGTTGGTCTGACACAACATTACTAGAATTGAAATTCCTTTTTAAAGTAATCTTCTTCAATAACTCAAGTTATTGTGACTGATTTAATTACTAGATGATGTGGCGTAACTGATAGGGTTGTTGCGGGAAGATACGAAGGTCGATGGTTCGAGCCCGTCGGCGACGATATCTTTTTTTTTTTAATTATTTCATGTCACCTAAATTCAATTTATTTTGTTTGAATTGGATAGCAATTGTATACACTCTTTTGAGAGCAACCATCTCCAAGATAATAAAAAAAATACTGTTTATCAAAATTGTACATTCCACTTTGTAAATAACTGTAAGTAGGTAGTAAATTTCTAAAAAATTGAATTCTGTATTTCATTACTATCATTATGTTCGTCTTCGCAGTTTGAGTTGGAATATACTCAAATTATGTTTCCTATTTCTTATATATATATATATTGTCCCATTCAATCACGAAATAGTCATACGAATACAACTCGTGATACTATTTTTCCTGGAAATATTCGTCGATTGACATACTCCAGCTTGCTGCTCTAATTTCGCTCATGACATATTGATCCAAAACTACTCGCCTACGGCTCGTAGTTTTGATAACAATGTCATTCACGAAATTACTAGGCAACAAGCTGTCGTAACAATCACCGAATATTTCCGGCAAAATATTATCACTTGTGGTATTACATATGAAAAAAATAGTAGGATTCAGTTTTATGAGCTTACTTTTTGTTTTTTGAATCGCTGATTCCGAAGTTTTCACTTTGTACCAATATTTCCCACCGGAGATACCGGAGATTTCGAAAAAATGTCGCCAGAAGCAAGTTGAAAAAAGTGTTGAAAAAACTCAAGTCACTAGAAATTTATGAGAGTGAGCCATTACAACATAGTGTCGAACCGTAGCACTAATCAACGAGAATCACCAACATTGTTTCAACTTCATATCAATGATCTGTTGCATGCGAGTATAAGATCATAGATAATTATCAGAATATACTTAATAATCCTTCAATGAACAATACAAATGAAGTACACACAGCTTTACAGATTTCAATAGTACTCTCCATACTGCGGTGTCTTCAAGAATTTCTTCTCAGGGAACTGAGAACTCACGGTGAAGGCAAGTCAACACTGTTATACCTATTGAAGATCTTGGTGGCATTAATGTCTGGGGATCCAACAACCAATAGTTGAATTCAACAGCACCAAAACCCAAGCCTGTATTTTCTCTATACTGATGCCTGTTATAGGGCTGTGCAAAAATATCGATTAATCGATATATATCAATATATCCTCGAATATATCGAATACTTAACGATATCCCTATCCTCCCTAGGAACGCACGATGTTCTCTGAACATTATAGGAATTCCCTTTCGTGCGCTTCAAGCGATAAAAAAAAATATCGAATAACGATATCCATTATTCCTCAACTACACTTGGAGAAACACTTGAGTTGTGTGCAGAAATTCACTTGAATTGAAAGATTTAGACAAAAAAAGTGTGTGTGGGTATGTTGATAAAAGAAGAGAGACGACAATTGATCAGAATCAAAGATGTGGCCACCTGTCTATTTATTGTAATACTTGAGTGGTGTGCGAAAGAACACTAGTGGAAAGAATCGAAAGTGATCACATAGAAACACACAAACAATTGAGGACAAAAAGTGTGTATGTGTTTTCATGAAAGAAGAGATCACGAAAGTGATTGTTGTTTTGATCAAGAAAATTGGTTATCATGGCAACCAGATTTCAATCTCACAACCAAATGATCGAGTGGTATGTTAACCATGATTTTTGTCCCTTCACTTATATTTTGTTTAGATAGCCATAATATTCGGTTCACCAAAAAAGTGCATAGTAGATATAGGTATATTGACTATTTTTCAGGTTCTTGTGCCACTGAATTAATACAGATTTCGAATAAACATCAAGTTTATTCATTACGCATGGTGGTCAAATTTACAAATGATCTACAGTATAATTCTCTTCATTTGTAATTTCTCGTCTCCGTTATTTGAATGTACTCTTCCATGTATCCTTTATGACACTCAATGGACGTTATTCAATTGCTACCACAGTTTGTCATCTTCTTCCTGCAAGAAATGTATAGAATTTAAATATTAATTCAATATTTTAATGTAGATATTGTGCCTAATTTCCGAAAATGGAGGTTTATCGTACCTGTCCACAGGTAACTAATCCTTCAGGTTGGGAAAGTAAGATGTATAAAAGTAAAGCAAGCCAACGTTAGTTTAGTTCATTGTACCAGTATATCACCTGAAGAAGCTACTGTGTTAGCGAAACATGTCGTGTATTTGAGAATTTTGTGGAAATCTTATTGTTTGTGAAGTTTTTACATTTGTCATAGATTTCCATCGAGTATCGGCCGATTCAATTCAAAAAAAGAAGGTAAAGTGTAGTACGTAACACGTGTTGTAAAGCAATTATACGCACTCATGGAATTAGTGAAAAGTGTCAAATTACATATCGAAACTAGAAAACCACATTTTCTACTTGTAAGATCAGAGACCTATGCCTCGAATAATTACATCGAAAAGCGATAAGCGATAAAAGTGAACATGAAGAGTCAATTCGACCTAACGTTTATACTCAATAACTCTCTCACAATGAAGAGATAGATACCTATCGTCCAAGGAATCACTCCTCCATGACAGGAACAATATCAGTAATATGAGTGTATTATATGCAGCAATAAAGAAAAACAGAATATAACGGCCATTGTGTTTATGCGTTGTGAACTTGAGCTAGTGTGACTTCCTGTGCATGGATGCATACAACATAACCGGAAGTTCTTAGAATTAACCTGTATATTTTCACATAGGAAAAATGCAGCGGTAGGTATACACAATACACAATGGAATAAAGACCACCCCGTACACAATGGGGATTTCAAAGCTTAACTATATTGCGTATTTTTTTTTCCTATAACGTGTTCTCGAACTTTATTCGAAAGGTCATCATTGAAAACATGGCTGATACAGACTTGAACTAATACTGAACTAAAGCGAGATTTTCATGGATGCATATCGTTCAAAAAGTTTGTGAAGAATTCGAAAATATGCTGTACTATTGTCTATAGATCTAGAGAATAATGGAGCACATTTTGAGCAATCTCTTTGGATACCACTCTGAAAAATTGCATTTCTTCTTAGACACGATTCGTCTAAATAAATCATTCTAGTTGGTTTTGAAAGGGTATACCATTCTCAGCTGGATGAAGCAACAACACATTTTGTTCTGATTGACAGAGAAGATGTCACTGTTCACTAAAACCATATACAGAGTGAACTCTTTGATAGCTGGCAACATTTCACGAGTACGGTCCTGGATTTTCCTCAATTCTGTATACCTTAGTCAGTTCATTTTGGTTCAGTATGTACAGGATTGTGGAGCAATAGAACTAATAGAAGTGAAATCGAAGTGAAATGTAGTAGTAGTAATAGTCTTTATTTGAAAAAAATAACCTTTTTCTACAAACGTCATAAAATGACAAGGTTCGCGCATTGATAACAAATTGCGAAGTGACACTTTTTTTCAGTTTCCTACGTTACCATGATACCTTGCACAAAACAATGCGCGAAGTAAAACAGTGCGCGAAGTACCTACTTCGCGCATTGTTATGTAAAATATATGATATATTTATATTTCAACTTTATGGTTTTCAATCAAGCAAACATTCAAGAAATCATTTATTTCTGAATGTTCAACAATAACTTTGTTTCATCTCTTGGATCGCACGAAAGGAAATTTCTATTATGTTCGTGGAACATCGTGCGTACCTTTAAGGAGGATAGGGAGGCCTTTTAAGCCAGTTCAACACTATTTTTTATATCAAGCTAATCATATTTTTACTTTAGAACTATATTTTTTGTCGTTTGTAGAAAAAATGTTGTTTGTAACTCGAGCGCGAAATACTTTGGTCATCCCGATCACCAAAGTAGCATTTCGCGCTCTAGATACAAAAATAACTATATACAAATCTACAGAACCCGTAAAAGGTTATTGAAACAAACAGGCGTCACAAAATAAAGCTAACTCAGACAACTGAGGTACATACAATATGAAATATTTACCCTTAAAATGTTGTGTGTAGGTTTCCAACTCTGAATCTAGATATTCACTCACCGTGTATGGATCCAAATATATCAGAAGTTCCCAGATTTCTTTTTTGAATACCTTGAGAGAGGATATTGCTTTAATTTAGCTTATTGAATAACTTTATGCAGTTGTATATTACGTTTTTTTCAGTAACAGCTAATCTATGTATGGGGTAATAATAGTTAGAATATCTGGTGTTATAATGAATTTGTGGTATGTAGTCTGTAAAGTAATGTCTGTTTTTAAACAAGTGCAGGATACATTCTTGAATGCACACATAGTTGGCGAAACACCTGTCGTCGCGTTGAAATATCGACTGAAAATGCTACTTGCATGATGGTAAAGTAGACTTATGTAAACTTTTTTTGCAGGAATGCACCAATAGACTCCATAATGGAGCACACCTGGCTCATCTCGCTGATGTTCTCAGTTATCCTTTTCGAATCCACCCTCAGCGTAACAGAAGACTTGCTCGACCAATACGTGAAACACGTCGAAAAAGTGAATGGAATAGTGTACAACGACAACAACGTAGATTTCAAATTCAAACCAGCGAAAGGAAGGCATCTAACGCGCAGGCTCAGAAGCACGGAGCACACGGAAGACATTGACAGTTTTGACATTGACATTGACACGCTTGACGCGAGTGAAACGAGTGATGTTCGCGCACGCAGAGACGTCTCCAGCGACATCTTGTGGACGCATGCGGAAACTCTGGATGCGGAGGGCCGGGTGGTTTTGAGGTGGCAGCCCAGGCACCAGGAACTTCTGTTCAGGATAGAGGCGAGGACTAGGGGCTATGTCGGGATCGGTTTCAGTCCTGATGGGAAGATGGAGAAGGCCGATATTATTTTGGCTTGGGTGGACGACAGGTTGAACAAGCCTGTTCTTATGGTGAGTTTGCGTCATATTGAAATTAAGCGCGTGTCCAAAGGGTAAGGTCATTTTACTCTGAATGTTCTGTATTCATTGCAAAAATATCATTCATGAAATAAAAATCAATCCTTGTCTTTGTTGAAAAAGAATAAGAGGGATAGCTATCAATCGGTTGAAACATCAGACACATGGGATACTCCCCTTTTTTTATATCTAGATATCTATATTTATGAAATTCGGTCATCGAATATGTTCACTAGAGGGCACTTTCTCAGATTTTAGGATTTTTTTTCATATTTTCCGGTTTTCCTGGAAATGACATCAACTTTCGATGTTCAAATGAAACACTTTATATTTCATTCCATAATTGGTTAGAGATTATCATTGTCCGCTAAATATGGAGCTGGAAAATACATTTCATGAACGTCAGAATTGAATTATAAATTCATAAACTATTGAGAAAAAAGCATAAATGAAAATATCCTGCTGTGTAATGAATTGCGGGAATTCTGGAGGGAATAGCGATTTCTTTTTTTTTTAATTTTACAAAGGAAATTTCAACCATTGTATCAAATGGCCTGGATGAAAAATTGATTCAAAAAAACAGAAGATCTATGAGATTCGTTGTTCCATTGATTTACAATGATATTATCATCACACGAAATGCAAAACAATATTAGACGAATTGATTGCAAAACTACGTCATGAAATTGAAAATTTGAGGACGAAACTGAGGAAATGGCGTTTTCAATAACGACCGAATTCAAAATTTATCAGTAAAAAGTGAATGTAGCAAAAAGTGGAAAATCAAAACAATCCCCAGACAGCACAGAATATCCTATGAATATTCTGACAACGTTCAAATATACTCATTTTAGAATATTCTTATAGAATGTTCTCAGAATGGTCATAGAATATTCTCATTCTGCAAATAATATTCGATGAACATTCTATTCGACATATTCCCAGAATATTCTTTTTGAATATTCTCGTTTATTGTCTTAATCATGAAATATTCATACGAATACAACTCGTGATGCTATTTTTCCTGGACGAATTTTTCGTTTGACATACTCCAGCTTGCTGCTTTAATTTCGCTCATGACAGATTCAAAACTTCTCGCCCACGGCTCGAAAGATTTGATACACAATGTCATTCGCGAAATTATTAGACAACGAGCTGTCGTAACAATAATATGAGAAATCAACTACGAAATTGCCACAAATGCTCAAAGTGGAATGAAATGTTAAATAAATACAAAAAGCTCAAAGTCATATCCACATAATGTTCATAAAATGAACAACAATGGTAGATTTCGGGAGAAAAACAACTACTTTCCTAGCTAATGACACGCAGAACATTGAATTACATCCTCCCGAAATCTATGCATCGACTCGTATATGAACAAACCAATACTGATACGAGTGAATCTTTTCTGAATGCCTATTGATTTCGATTTATCCAGGCCACGCTAGACACCTACATACCGGTTTCGAGCTCTTTGGGCGTCTCCAGCCAGCAGTCCAACTCAGTTTCTACAGTTGCTTTCATATTGTCCATGAAGGATGCCTCTAATAATGCCGACTTTATTTTTGTTTGGCTAGGCTACGCTTAGTCGGCGGTCTTATGACTGCTGGCTGGGGACTGCCCTGCACTGATGAGAATCAGAGAGCTCGAAACTGGTCTGTAGGTTTCTAGCGTGGCCTGGCTAATTCGAAATCAATAGGCATTGCATTCAGGAAAGATTCACTTGTATCAGTATCCGTTTATACGAGTCGATGCATAGATTTCCGGATGATGTAGTGGGCGTGTACACCTTAGTAGAACTTTTAACTCAAACCATGTTTATAATGACTCTTTTATACATAAATAATGATTGACGACATAATTCGATTGAAAAATTAACTGGAATGTTTTATTTTTGGACATAAATAATAGTACCTTCTGAAAACGGACCCTCCTATGACGTAGAAACCTCATCTCGCCATAGTTGAAAGAAAATACCAAACGCCCGACGGAGACTGAGCAAACTAATTCTTTCAACTGTGATCTCGCGCTAATTCACACTGTCAGAAATCTATCTGGAATAGTCTTGTTTCAGTAATAGGGTTTTGACGTCACATCATCGCCTCGTTTTCAGAGGTCCGAAAAATCGGGGATTTCAATAATTTTTTATAAAACGTAGGGAGCTCACAGCAAGAAACGGTTTGCGGTGGTGAGCTAGTTTGGGTGAGTTCTATCGAATTATGAAATAATTTTTTTTGTGATTTAAGTCCATTCAATTTTCTGGATGTCATTAGCCAGGAAAGTAGTTGGGCAGGAAAAAAATCTTTAAAAAAATGTTCTAAAAAATGTCCTCGATGATTTTCATGTACTAATTTTTTGACGGTCCCTGTTTTGCTAAATGTTTCAATGTTTTAATTTCTAATAGTATGTGAACCGTAATTTTTTTGTTTTCAACATGTGAATTTTCCCCAGAAAAGTACTTCCTGTAACAATTTTGCTGATGATGAAGCTTTGAAGCTTCGAAATATGTCCCAATTTCCAATTTAAATAAACTATAGTTTTGGTGGAGTTGACTGTAAGATTTTCTTCCTACTGCAAGATGGATGGACTCAAAAGGAAAGTAGTTGTTTTTCTCCCGAAATCTACCATTGTTGTTCATTTTATGAACATTGTGATTTGGACTTTGAGCTTTTTGTATTTATTCAATATGAGAAATCCTTTTTGTGTGCGCATCATCATCGATTCGGTGTGAACGTTGGAAAACCGATCGAAAAAGAAATGTTTTTTTATGACGCGAAAGCAGCTGTCGCGTTAATATTACCGAGAAGGCCCCTACCTTGCCCCTATCCGACCCAATCCATCGCTGTGCCATCGGAACCAGATGCCTTTTCCTCTCTTCGAGACCGCCATCGCGCCAGGCCGAGACACGGGAGGCAGATGTTTTTACACCTGGCATCACGTGCCAGCCCGCTTTTCCCATGGCTATTTCTAGATCGAGTTTTCGGATCCGGTTCCGTTTTGGGGACTTTTTCCCTTACCAAGAATACCTTCTTACGTGCCTATTATATCATTCTGAATGATATACTGTGTCCATGTAGTGATTCACCCTGCGCCCACCCCCTTAGGTACCTAACTTTTGAACAGCTGAGAATTTTTTTGCTCAAATCAATTTTTTTTATATCTGACTCATAGAGGGCGCTAGTTACACGGTTCGTACCGAATTTTGAACATAACTTTTTCGAGGTTAGATTTTTCAATCCAAATTTGATGTGAACTTGAACATCATACAATTTCACACCAAAAAGGTACTCTTGGTAAAACTTGATACTGTGTTCCGTTTTCGGAATATTTCGATTTGAAAATGATGAAGTGATAACTGTTGTATAAAGTTATGTAATAGAGCGAGTATTATGAAAAATGATCACCTATTTATTGAAAACCGAAAACAATAATACATTTCTGATGCTAAACTTATTGATTTAACAAATTTAACAATGAATCACAAGAATAACATCGAAACAGATTTGACTAAGAACATGGATTACACAGTTTTGTTGTATCTTGAGCAGAAAGTCTAAGCTACATAGGTTAATTCACATCATGAGTTGTAAGACATAATTGAACATCATTCAAATGACCTAACAGCTGATCCTCAACTGTTTAGAAGAATAATACATTCTTTCTTAAGAAAAGAATATAGAACCGTGTATTCGTCGAAACGTAGACATTTTGAACACTTACTCTAACTGATTCAATATTTCATGTTTCTAGTCAAATATCTCTTAATTTTCTACTTATGATTCTTTGTTCCATCAATAACTCCAGGACAAGAATGATTTTATTGTTTTTGAATCTGAATAAATAGGTAATTGAACTCAATAAAATTAATTTTATACCAGCATCAATACTACCCCAATATTTTCAACTCGAAATATTCCGAAAACATTCATGCGATGTGTCAGATTTCAAGAAACATCCGTACAAAATTTCAATACAATGTTGCCAGTAGTTTCGACATAATCGTGAAAAATGTGTAAAAAAATCATTTTTTCAACACCTTGTATCATGAAAACGGATGCCGTTACGACATTTTTTCACTGAACAAACCCAACTTATTTTGCAGCGTTCTACCTACCCTAGCAAGGGGGTCAGGTTTTTTTTAAACACCCTGTATATACACTGTTGATGGCTTTTGTTGTGTTTGTTCCGTGAAATTACCGAATAACACCGTCTCCGAGGAAGAACTGAAAGTCCTTTAATTTTTCATTCCACGTAAATTACTAAACAACCACTAAATCCGCCATTTTTCAAAATCAAATCACAGAATTAGACTGGCAGACATATTTGATTACTTCAAAAGAATGATTAAGATGACTGCAAAAACATGACAGCAACCTCGACAGCAACGCAGGTGTCATTCCTGTTAAAAACTTCTGATTTGGATATAATGTCAATATCTTCTCAATATTGATTCGTACTTCTTCCTCTCACAGAAAATAATAGTGTATTATACACGGGAAAAATATAAGATTTCTGTTCACGGTTTCTGGAGCTGAAATCTACTAAATATTGTCTGTAGCTGAGTAAAAATTCGATATTTTTTCAATATATCTATATTTCTTCTGTTCAAACTTTTTTCCAAACGAAGTGTCACTGACAAGCTATTGGATTTTTCTTCAAGCCTCCTGATAGAACAATTTGTTGAACGCAGTGACATTTTCGGGCAAATCATCTGATTTGTCCTACTACACATATACAGTGTGACCCACTTAAGACCGGAGCACCCTTATAAAATCTATAGTTTTTAACCGATTTCCTTTTTTTTGTTTAAGCAGAAGGACTATCCGGAGATCTACGTTGATACAAATTTGCAAAATAAAATTTCAATCTAAAAATTGCGAAATATCATTAGCGATTTTTTTCAAAAAAAAAAATCGACCCCACCACTGAATTCAGCATCCTTCAATTAGGTCGAGCGCAAAATTTCATTGAAAAATTTCAACTGGCAACAA